GTAGACCTTTGTAAATTACTGTATATAGTGCACGTAGCTCACTTGACACATGGAAACGAATGACGCGTTCGGTACTTCTTCAAAACAATAGAGGAAGAGGTTATTCATTTCAGTAGTCATGGGAGTGTTAGCAGTGGTAGTAATTAGGAATGAAACAACAACCATGATTATTGTTGTCGTGGTGGTGGTATTTTTATTGTTGTTGTTGGTGGTGGTGGTGGTGGGTTGGTAGTTATAAAACGGTTCTTACAGCTAGATATTCCAAGGCGACGTTTCCCACGGCTGATGTTAACAGTCGGTTTGTCAGTGAAATTTTTTTTACTTCTTCATTCAGATTAAAAGCGGCCTCATATGTTGTTGTTGTTGTTGTTGTTGTTGTTGTTGTTGTTAGGCTTAACGACATTTTTCAGCACACGATACATGGCAGCCAGTATTAATGGTGGAATCAGTACACAATTAATAAAATCCGGTTCAGTACCTAGGAATGTAGTCCCAATCTATTTTTAGATCACTTTTTCCGGTCTAAATTTGGTGGTGATACTAGAGTTAGATTTTGGCATTCTTGGTAAGGATTTAAAGGCAATTGATTATTCTTTAAAATGTGAGCTTATGGTGTGGTTGTCTGTGTGTATTTCGGCGACAGTGCACATTGAGTAATAAGGTCATGGTGATGATCCGGAAGTGAAATCTGTGTTCCGTTGCCTGGTGTTTTGTTTACAATTCAGCCTCTCAAAAAAATGCAGGTCAATCCTTGACAAGAACTAAACCGTAAAGTCATCTTTGAAGGTATTTTAGATTAACATATGATTTGTATTGATTGTCACACAGTGGAAAGTTCAGTACTGAGAAACAAATGTAGAGACAATATAGTGAAATTAATTGTGTACTATGGCCTGGTGGAGAAAGAAACCTGGAAATCACCGGAAAGAACACCGACCCACGAGAAGCTACTGGCAAGCTTTCTCACATATCCAATTGCTGTGGCATCTCCCAAAGAGTATTCCAAAACACTTTCTATTTATTACGATTTTCTTGTAGCATTGTGTTTTATTAGATGTAAAAAAAAATTAACAAATACGATTGAAATAGAAATCAAGATGAAGTGAGTGGTTTTTAATCCTTTCAGAAGAAATCAAGATGACATGATTTTGTCTTAATTCTTGCAGCTTGCTTTATGTTTAATGCTAATTTCATTGATGCAACTAAAACATATTAGTTTTTAAATCTCAACCGAAGAAAAATATTTAGTCATGAAGTGCAACTGGGACAAGGTCCTAATTGATCTCCTATCAACGAAGTTTTCAACACCAGGAAGTTACGTTAATGCATTTCGTCACTGCAGACAGTTCAATCGAGAGAGAGAGAGAGAGAGAGAGAGAGAGAGAGAGAGAGAGAGAGAGAGAGAGAGAGAGAGAGAGAGAGAGAGAGAGAGAGAGAGAGAGAGAGAGAGAGCACTATATTTAATAGTGTTGTAGGGGTGCTGATGTGATGTGATATGTTTATGATTATTAACGTAGCTTTAACAATTTTTTAGTCATATGTCTGCAGTGTGGCAGTTTATAGTGATGTCTAGCACTGGTGAATCATGTCGCAGACATGTAGCATAACGTCCTACCCAGTCAGATTATCCTGACACCAGGTCTACCAGTCCTAACACTAACCTCTTAATGCTGAATGTCAAGCGAGGTAGCTATTAGTACCATTTTTGCAAGTCTTTGGTATGACTCGACCGGGAATTTAACCCAGGACGAACCACATTCTAACCTCTAGGCTACCGAAGCGGTGTTGTTATTTGCGTGCAACTATACGCACAAAACGTATTGCACATGACAAACCCATAGTGCAATACAATCATACTTAATGAAAACAATGCAATTTTACGTTACGAAAACCTTTTTTGGTAAATGTCTTAGCAATGTTCTACACCATGGCAGGATGACGGAATCAGAGAGAGAGAGAGAGAGAGAGAGAGAGAGAGAGAGAGAGGTCACTCGTGACTGTGTAGATACGGCTACATTTTTTTTTGGGGGGGGACTTGGCAATGCGGAGGTACGGGATGCTGTAATGAAAGAGAGTAGTCTGTCTCTGATTCTTGAACGGACTGATTTTTATTCAATATATGGATATATACTGCTACGTTCAAGCGAAAAATGTTATTAAGCCTTTCTATTAATTATATATAAAATACATATAAAGTTATAATTTTACATCAAACTTTCCAACTTCATATATTTGCATAATTTCTTCCTTTTAGACTATAATACAGATAATTTCATATCGAAATATTCAAAGAGTATAATTTCAATAGTTGCGATTAATACAACAATAATTTTAAAGAAATAAATTTTACTAAATTTACACTAGATTAGTAACTAGGAATAAGATACTAAAACATTGTTCTCTATTACTTAAAAAATCTTTTTATTTCCAGATTCAATCTAAACATGAAATTGGTTGAAATTAGTCTTTTCCGTAAAACATACATGAATACCAATGAAAATAGTGCTTTGAAACAATAAAATAATCATTACATTATAATAGTAAAGACTCGCAATATGCTACAAAATATCAAATCTAAATTGAACTTTACCATGAAAATCTCTACATTAAAAAGTCCCTATAGTTTAAAGAGTTTATGTACACGAACAATTCTTATCTGTAATGAAAGAGAGAAGCCTGTTTCTGATTCTGGAACGGGCTGGATTTTACTAGAGGCTGCTGGAATATTTATACACGCCTGTCCTCTTGAATCAGAACAAACTCTCACCCTTTCTCACAGGAAAACGCGTGAATCAACAATTTAAAGACCTTTAAACACAATCAACTGCGTAATTGCCTAATAGATACAAGAAAATTGCGCAATTGTCTATCATCAATTAACGATCAAATCTAAAATTTGTTGACGTTAATCTGACGTTAATACATGAGAGTGTACTCGGTCACACAAGCATGATATTTTACCAAAAAAGCACACAGCTGCAATTCGAAACAAATCAAATGTTGATCTCAGTTTTTGTTTAGTGCAAAATTGCTTTCAATATTTTTTAAAACGATTTTAGAAGGGATTTGAATCATAATACTTTTTACTAAAAACTGTACTTTAATAACAATAATCAATATAACATTTACTACTTGAAAAATACAAGATCTCTAAGTGATATTACCTTGCAAAATTTCAAATAGTGGTCACATGAACATATAAAATTAACATAAAAATGAAACAAGTCTACAAACATCTGAAAACTGTAAAATTATCAGGAAATAAAAATCTCACTGCCATTTCTATATTGTGTTTTAATTTAAACTTCACATCAGCATTGTTTTAAACGGCTCAACACATCTTGAGGAGATTTGCAATTCGACAACGTCGGAACACAAAGCTATCCCTTCCCTTCCCTGTGCAGTAACAAAGTCTCCTCTTGTACTAACCACACTCTGCAAACGGCATCGAAGTTGCAGGTCTTATCATGGCAACAATGAATGGAAACTTGTGCTACTGAGCTTTCCACCATTTCAAAAGAATCATCATCCAACATTATTTGTTTTTATTCCTGAACAAGTCAACCTTGTGCTTCATTCTTTGAAGTCTGAATAGAGTGCTGTTCGTTTATTGTCATAAGGATTAGGACATAACATCTGAGGCAAAGTTCAGTTAAAAAAATATTATTTGAAACTGGAAAAATATCATCTCGTCCGGACTCACCCACCCCCATTAAAACTTGCCTGAATACGGAATAATGGTAATGTGCATCACGTTTTATATTCTCTTACAATATATGAGAAAATTGTGCTCTTGAATTCAACTGGAAGAATCGTGAGGAATACACAGACCTGTAAGATGAATTCATGACCGTGGAAAAACTTGCAGTGCAGAAAATTGTATTTAGTATGTATCGCCAGAACAGTAAACCGCAAATATGCCCGTATACCGATATATTTGTATAGCAGTATGTATTACCAGAACAGCCAGCTGCAAATATGCCCGTATACCAATATATTTGTATAGCAGTATGTATTACCAGAACAGCAAGCTGCAAATATGTCCGTATTCCAATATATGGTATTGCGGTATGTATTGCTAGAACAGCAAACCGCAATATGCCCGTTTACCGATATATCGTATTCCGTGATGTATTGCCAGAACAGCAAGCTGCAAATATGTCCGTATACCAATATATGGTATTGCGGTATGAATTGCCAGAACAGCAAACCGCAATATGCCCGTGTACCGATATATCGTATTCCGTTATGTATTGCCAGAACAGCAAACCACAATATGCCGGTATACCGATATATCGTATTCCGCTATGTATTGCTAGAACAGCAAACCACAATATGCCGGTATACCGATATATCGTATTCCGTTATGTATTGCCAGAACAGCAAACCGCAATATGCCCGTATACCGATGTATCGTATTCCGTTATGTATTGCCAGAACAGCAAACCACAATATGCCGGTTTACCGATATATCGTATTCCGTTATGTATTGCTAGAATAGCAAAGCCTAATATGCCGGTATAACGATATATCGTTGCAGCACCAAGTAGTAGTAATAGTTGTAGTAGCAACGGCAATAGTAGTTTGTAGTAGCATTTGTATGATGGAAACTTTAATTTAATTAAGTCTGTAAAAGTACCCAATTGCAATTTAAAAGCTAGCCAGCAAACGTTCTTAACGGGATGCTTAAAAGTTCATTTTTTTAAATATACGTCATGTATTTATTTAATTGAGGGATGTTCACCTAAGTTTAGTTGTCTGTATCGTAGAATAATGTATGTCATTCTTTCACTAGAATTTGCTGAGTGTTTGTTCTTTTTTTCTCTCGCATATTTCGATTTCTCAGCATTGTAAAAATGTCAACATTTCTTAGCTGAAATGTTTCCATTCTTGTTTTCTAACATTTGGAAAATCCTTGATATTTTGGAAGCGGAAATAAATACTTGCTTGCTAAATTTGTGTATTCTCTTTTTCTTAGTAGTTTTGTTTCCAACACGACCGCTCGGCTGTCCTAGTGGTTAGAGCGTCCGCTTCAGATGCGAGAGGTCGTGGGTTCGAACCCTGGATGAGTTATAACAAAGTCTTATAAAAATGGAACTAGAAGTTCAGTATTGAGAGGTTAGTGTTAGGACTGGTACACTTTGTGTCTATATTTCATTAAATCGAAGAATTAATTTAAAGGACTCTCAATTTCTTTTGTTGATTTTTCTCAGGTAGATATTTTTCAAGGTTTAAATATTAGCGGTTAAATATGATTCGCTATATCGTCTTTTAAGGAACGATAGTAGTATGCATTTTGCAAACTCATCCTTGTCAGCTTTGGATTGTATGCTTTTTGGTACTGTATCCAAATTATATAATCCGATCAATACACTTGCCACAGACACTATCGCTGTAGAAATAAAATATTCAATTCACGTGATCTATGCTGAGGGCGTTGGGACTTAGCTTCGCATGAAAATTCAAATCGATTGAATGAAATCAAATCTCCACTGTTGTACATGAAGATCTGACAGCGACCGGATAGGGTTCATGTTCTGCTATCTTATGTTATTACCATAATCGGTAATTTTATCAACCAATCAGATTAAGACTTACATCTTCGCGTTTGGAAACTGAGCAGTGTCGATGAAGAGCATGAATGTGCACCGAACGAGCTGATTAACTTTCAGAATTTTTTAGTGCTGCATTTCCATCTTGCTATCTTATATTTCACACTCTCGAGTGTCTACATTTTTTAACATTATGAAATGCTCATCTATTATCAATTACAAACTGAAATAGCGCCTGTCAAATTTATAGTATTAACGTACAACGAACTGCTTGTTTGCAAGTTTTCTTACGCTTCAATATTTCCCCATAGTCATGACACCTCAACAATGACGTCCATCGAACAGGGTAATGAACACGTGACCTGGAACTAATCACCATCCAAACTACACATCGAAAGTATTTAGGTACATGTACAGCTTTGTCCAATTCTGCAAAACATTTCACTGAATCCTAATCAGACTGTTGTTGTTGTTGTTGTTGTTGTTGTTTTGCTTAACGCCATTTTTCAGCACACGATAGGCTATTCATGGCGGCCAGTATTAATGGTGGAGGAAGAAACCGGGAAATCACCGGAAAGAACCACCGACCCACGAGAAGCTACTGGCAAGCTTTCTCACATATCCACATTCGCCGAATCCTAGACTCGAACACACGCAGACAGAGGTGAGATGGCAGTGATCCGTAACGGACAGCGCTTTAGACCACTCGGCCACTCGGGGCCCCCTCCTAATCAGACTGATATTTTAAGCTATATAAAGACTGAATAAATACTTCAAATAAAGTAATTATATATATTAATATTTCACATTCCGTGTCAGCACTGTGACACTGGTGTACCCTTTCATCGGTCTGAATAAAGAAAAATGCTTCACCAAATTAAACGCAGAAACGACAAATCTTGTGAGCACGAGATCTAAATTATTTTCAGCAAGTTAATGGCTATCTATGATCGAATACAGTTAGAAGGGCAAAGTATAGCAACTTATTGTATAAATAGAACTTTTGTGAAAATCGGACATTACATACATCAAACTGCAGAATATAAATACATTCAGTTCGATTGGTATAAAGTTCATGCGACAACATAGATCCTTCCTCTGTCTGTGCATAAGAGAACATGGTCACAACGTCAGATGCACGTGATGTGATATATGCACGTGACGTGACGTCTTAATATTTCTTTGACAATCGTGGCACTGTATATTTAAAAGAGCTGTACCCATAAATGTCGTTAGCAATTATGTTTTGCTTCAAATAATAATAATAATAATAATAATAATAATAATAATAATAATAATAATAATAATAATAATAATAATAATAATAATAATAATAATAATAATAATAATAATAATAATAATAATAATAATAATAATAATAATAATAATTAGTAGTAGTAGTAGTAGTATTTTTATTATTATTATTATTAGTAGTAGTAGTAGTAGTAGTAGTCGTAGTAGTAGTAGTAGTAGTAGTAGTAGTAGTAGTAGTAGTAGTAGTAGTATATCTTTCGGAATATGTTTCAATGTATTTGTTAAAATCGTTAAATAAGATAATGAAATAACTAGCTATAATAAAGTTAATTAATCGTGACTGTACCTGTAGTCTTTAATTACGTAACAAGCTGTATATGAATGATGATGAGGCTGAAGCCATTATAATCAAAACCCAAAGACTTTCTCATTCGCATCTATTGCCTCAAACAATACGCATCAGCAATACCAACATCAAAATCACATAGTAAAAAACCTAGGTGTCACTTTTGACAGTGCTATTACACCAACATGTCGTGAACATTTGCAAGGCCGCATATCTGGAGCTGAGATGCTTCAGTTACATTCACAATTTCTTTCGCTTGATATAAAAAAAAACAACATACGCGTGTTCCTTAATGACTTTAAGACTGGGCTATTGTTATTCACTTCAATTTGTTTGTCTCAGTATCAACATCAGAAACTTCAACAAGTTCTAAATACCGATGGACTCTAATCATCCTAAGAGCACGTATATCTTAGCATACCTCTTCCCATCCCTGTAACCGTTACTGGTTGACTGTTCGATCCAGAAAACACTTTATCGTTTCACTATGCTGCACTTCGTTGAATGCCTCCAGTCTAATGATAAATATCTAACCTCAACCGTGTGTTCATTTCATCTAAAAATTTGCGTCCTCTTCAGACACTCGCATTCTAGTTTTTTTCTTTTTTTTTCTTGCTGTTAACACCAATTCATACCGACTACCATCCACAGCGTACCAGGGCCCAGCTACGTGGCACGAATTAGCCATATATCTTTGACACAAGAACATTGATCTCATTTAAGAGTGTTAATAAAATTCACCTTTTTCTGCTACAAGAACAAACTTAAAGAATTAAATAATGTTTACTTCCTTAATACTTGTCAGCATGTTATTGTTTTGTAATTTCATGGCGTTTGTTTATGTAATCTTGTCCATATTGTCAAGTGTACAGCTTTTAAAAGATCAGGCGCTGTACTAAGTTCAAATTATTATTATTATTATTATTATTATTATTATTATTATTATTATTATTATTATTATTATTATTATTATTATTATTATTATCATTTGGCATGGTTGCATGTAATATAGAAGCTACCAAATGCAGCTTTTTAAAAGTTCTGCAGCATGGTAAATTCATCAGATACATTCAGCTGCGTATTGACTACTTGAGTTTACATGATCCTCGTTTATGGGTTTTTGGGGTATATAACGAGCCAAGCAGGGTAAAAACACATGTATTAATAAGCTATTATATATATATATATATATATACATATATATATATATATATATATATATATATATATATATGTATATATGTATATATATATATATATATATGTATATATGTATATATATACATATATATAGAGAGAGAAAGAGAGAGAGAAAGAGAGACAGACAGACAGACAGACAGACACAGACAGACAGACAGACAGACAGAGACAGACAGACAGACAGACAGACAGAGACAGACAGAGAGAGACAAAGACAGAGAGACAGACAGGAGTATATTTAAGCCTGTTTATGAACTCGTTTGAATTTCGCATAAACTGACCTGAAACATTTCCTCTTACTCATCGTTATAGAACATTATCTCAGTCTGAGCTGTACTTCGTAACAAAAAATTTTGTGACTTGAGACTATGATGTAGTTTGAAATGTACTTTACAGGAGTGCTCAGTTGAAATGAGCTAATATTTTTTCAGCCATTTTTTTCCTTCTTCTTATACCTACTATTGTTCGTCTCTTACGCTTATTATGATCCCCATCATGACCACTACATGTATATACAAACATATAGCACATATATGCATGCATATATATATATATATATATATATATATATATATATATATATATATATATATATATATATATATATATATATATATGGATATAGATATAGATACAACGTTTTCAGTTTCCGCAACTAGTCTATACAAGCTGGTTGTATTTATAGTTTTAGCACATGTGAAGATAGAAATGTAGAGGTTTACAAACGCAACGTTTTTGTGTTTATTTGTTTGTCGTAACTATGTTTTGTATTTGCCTTTGAAAAAGACTCATTAAGAGTCGAAAGCGCTTAGGCTAGTTAGTTACTAGTTTCGTACTGTTCGTCGTCAGTTTATTGCATCTATTTTAATTAATCCCTGACAAACGTGATCCCTTGGTGGATCCAGTACGCTTGAGAGGGTTGTTATTCGCCATATGATTTGTATTCTTTATATATATATATATATATATATATATATATATATATATATATATATATATATATATATATATATATATATATATATATACATGATCCTCGTTTATGGGTTTTTGGGGTATATATATATATATATATATCTATATATATATCTATCTAAATATATATATATATATAGATAGATAGATAGATAGATAGATAGATATATATCTATATATATCTATATATATCTATATCTCTATATATATCTATATATATATATATATATATATATATATATATATATATATATATATATATATATATATATATATATATATATATATATATATATATATATATATAGATGCAATAAACTGACGACGAACAGTACGAAACTAGTAACTAACTAGCCTAAGCGCTTTCGACTCTTAATGAGTCTTTTTCAAAGGCAAATACAAAACACAGTGTGTTTATTTGTTTGTCGTAACTATGTTTTGTATTTGCCTTTGAAAAAGACTCATTAAGAGTCGAAAGCGCTTAGGCTAGTTAGTTACTAGTTTCGTACTGTTCGTCGTCAGTTTATTGCATCTATTTTAATTAATCCCTGACAAACGTGATCCCTTGGTGGATCCAGTACGCTTGAGAGGGTTGTTATTCGCCATATGATTTGTATTCTTTATATATATATATATATATATATATATATATATATATATATATGTGTGTGTGTGTGTGTGTGTGTGTGTGTGTCGAACATTCTCTCACAAACAGAATATGATTTCGAGTTCATGTTCCAGATAG